ATATTCGTTTTCTTTTTTTTATGTTATGTTAACTACTGCTTTAGAAAGCCGCAGCTGAAAAGTGTACGATGATCATAAAATACTAGGAATTAGATTCAATGGGCAATGGGCGAAAAATTACACATTGTCCATCAAGTACCACGTATCTATCCCAGAAATATAGTCCCGCTTGATCACCACCTACCTAGGAATCGGTTTTTAAGAGTACTGCCTTAAAATGTACAATTTTTCCACAAATAATTAAGAGAGAAGAAGGTAGTGAAAGTAGTACTCCGTGCTCACAAAGTTTCAGAAAAGGGCTTTCAAAAGCAGAGATAGAAAAATAGTTTCTGTCCATAACGTCAGTCTGTTTCAAATAAAGTAAAAACAATAACAGAAAAATAAACGATACTTTTTGGGTTTAAAAAGCCTTTACGGGAAAGGTTGCTTTGACTTTCATTAGGTTCTAGAAATTTGTTTTGGTGAAATCAAAAGACCAAAGTGTTGTTAAGCAAACCTTGATCGGAAATAGTCATAAATTTGGTTCCGCAGCCATTTGATCAAAAAATGTTCGGAATCTCGCAAAAGTATTGCTATATACTTATGAACAAGTAAAGCGTTTCCAACGACGTACTATTGAGCATTCTATTTCATGGTGTAACTTACTCTTCTTCAGAATTAATAAATATGGTCGGCCATCTCAACTTTGGTTGAAGTTATCCTTTACGCATTGCTAGAATAAGTTACCATTATTTTGGATGATGTTTTGTAGGTCGAGCTACTTATTTATCGTGCAGTAATGCATATCATTTAAAACTCTTTCTGCATTTTTCTGCTATTGGTGTGCAGGGTACTTTCACTTGTTTTTAAAGCTGAAATCTGCAGGGCTGACAGAATTATTTAAACGTAGGTTTTGTTTATTTAGGTTTTGTTTTCATTTTAAAAGTTGGTAATCACTATCTAATTGCTTGCTTATTTATGTAAAATAATAATTAAAAATATTGGCAACCTATAGTGTTGCCGCTCGCTAAGTAAATCACAAAAGTTTTTAACGATTAAATTGAATATAATTTCCATTTAATTTTTAAGAAAATACACAAATAGTTTTCTATACACAATTAAAGCCGAGCTTTTGAGCATATCCAACGACTTAACTCAAAACTTCCTAATTAGTTTATTTGAACATTTCGTAAGAATTTGCCAGCAGTACAGTAGTTAAGTCAATCACAAAAGTCTTCAATGACTTCATGGCTATTTTTGAAAACTCCAGGTATATCTCATATTATTGTTTTCGATAGAGATGAAAGTTTGTATAACATATTTGTTGTATTCGTTCTTTATACTCTATACCGCTGGATTAAGTGAATGCGGACGTATGTACCACCCAGATGTGCCCACCTTTTGTTATACCAAATTCAGAATCATTTTCTAAATCGATCTAAACCTGTCTGTCTGTTTGTTCGTCTAATGTCAGTGCATGCATTTTTGTGTTCAAGCTGTAGATCACAATTTTTCATACATTTTGATAAAATTTGGTACGCAGACGTAGTTGGGTTCAAGGACGAACGCTATTGAAGTGACTCAGTTCGCGACACTTTTTTGAAAAATTGCAAGTTTCCGCAAAAGTGGTTAAGTAGTAGTACTTCGGCATTCCAAATTGGTGTGAAATCTTTTGACTGGCTGGAGCAATTTTTGAATCCCCTCCCATATAAGCGTTCCTATGGAAATGGAAGCTTTATATAGTATAGGTCGAATTTCCATTTTCCAATGAAATCTACCTTACCAGATTTTGAAAAACATAGGTTTATTTTTTGGATGCCACCACCTATAAGGATTCTCATATGGCAAAAAGGTCAAATTGCTAAGTTTTTGTGATGAAACTTTTTTTATGATAGTAATTAAATAAAGAAATTAAAAGAAACTAATTGGAATCATATGGATGTATTTCTTGGCCTCGCTCCATACAAGATGCCCCATGAGTATTAAGTCGTTCGGAAAAAGTGTTAGTTTTCAATATTTTATGATGAAAATTAATTCATAGCAGCGTTTCGAATGAATATCGATCATATACGTCTATTTTTGTTTTTGTACCCCAAAAATATATAGGCGCTATCACAAAACGTAAAATCTTATATGGAGAGAAAATCGAATCTTCCAATATGCGGGCTTTCATGGAAATAATGTGTAATTTTTGGCGCATTATTACCACAACAAGCAACGAATAACGGTAGGGCATATGCAGGTCGATGTCGCCCGACTATAATGTTCTTACTTGTTATTTATTATAAAAATCATCAACGATTTGGTGATGGAAATAGGGAAAAAGGTGCCGTAAGCTAAATATTTAGCATCAAGATAAGATTCAAATAAAAAGTAAAACTTCTCATTGCAGACGGCTTAGGATATGTTTTATGTACACGTTAACTAATAGTTTTCGACTTAGCCTTAGGACTTTATGTTAAGTTTGTTTGCTTTTTGTTCAGTGGCAACCGAAGATAGATTGAGCTAAATTTGCCATAAGCTGTTACTCATTTTTTTCCTATTTCGAGCAAGAACAAATAACATGATAGATATAAAAAATGATTAGAATAAATAAAAAGATTGAAAAAGCTCCCTACAATTTTTTAATGCATTGCATTATAGTGCGGCAGTGAAGCGCATGATTTTTATTGAATGAGTTAACACATGAATTGCGATAGAATAACAAAAAAAAAAAATAAATAAAAAATAAAATGAAATATTATTTCCTCCCAGACAACGTTTATACATCACATGTAAATTAAATGTGAGATCATTTTCACTTTAGTATGCATTTGTGCTAATGTTTGCTTATGAATAATTTCACTAATTTCTATACAAAAGGAAAAAAGTAAAAAGTGATAAATAAATAAAATATCTTTACTAGAGCAAGTTCAGTGAATGAAAGAATTCTATTTGTTATACGCAATATAAAAAAAGGTGATAAATTAAAAGAAAATGAAAACACAAAAGAAATGATGTTCGACGGAGAGAGAGTCTGTTCACCGTTCACCATACTGTTTTACTATAATTATACCTTGGTAAACCAACTACAGGTACACTTTTGACTGACAATAAGTGACGATATTGCCAATGTAGTATGCGATGTAAGCGTAAGCATTCTATGACATAAAGGCAATAAAACTTCTACGGCAACGTCCTTCATGACCCTTTGTCTTGGCGCATTTAAAATACAAAAAGCACTTATGACATAGCCTGTAAATTGCGTTCTACATCAAGGTGTTTACACTACCTACCTACACAAGATAAAAAGAAAGCGTAAAAAGAAATAAATGGGTTCGCGAGCTCTGTGCATAACCTAAATTCTTCATAACAATCGATGAATACATGAGAAGGAGTGTAATTGAGCCTGATGAGAACCATGAAGTGGTGGAAATAACTTTTAATTTCTTAGGAAAACGTTGAATTGTGTTATCATGTTGTTATTTTCCACATAAATCCGCAGATTTTACTAAGACGTTCCGTTGCTCGCAATAATCAAGCATAAATAGGATCTGCTGCCGAGTAACATTACGGCGCACTCTTCAATGTCGTTTGTAAAATAATCGAAATGCTTAGTTGAAATGCATCTCTGGCGAATTGAAATCAAACCGCGTACATTGACGGACGTTACAATGATAATCCTGTTCAGCAAGCAATCGAGCTCTTTACGCAGAAACCCATAACCACGGATTCATTTTGCTTACATAGCAACAAGATGCAATAGTTGCATGATATTCTCGTAAACGACCCGAATTTGTTGCTTACCCTTAGCTCTCGTGCTCTAAGTATTTCTTCGAGGAGCATGTAGGATAACTTTTGAACAAATTTGAAACATTGATTGCTTCTGAGATTCAATTTGAAGAAAGTCGTCGCTGGGTTATACAAAATGGTCGGTTAAAAATTCGGATGAAACAAAATTTCATGTACGCGCACACTTAAGGCAACAAATTTTTTATAACCTAGAGAAAGTTTTACAGTTGTATTAGTTATTGTAAAGTAGGTGGATATGTCTGCAAGCCTGCGTATACATACACATTATTGTTATGTTAGACGGTGTTACCACTAAGTGTTTCTACATTGACTTTTAATAAATATGCGAGGAAGTTTTCAAATCTACGCAAACGGTAAGCCTTGAATTTTACGTTGGACGTGTTTGTGTTTTTGTGTATTCAGGGACAAGATTTGTACACAGATCACGACCACTTTCATATTTAATATGTCGGATTCAAATCTATAAGCAAAGTATTGACATTCTAGCTCTCGTTTTCGTAACATGGGAGACGAAAGGCTGATTGATGGACCGACAGACATAAGTAATCGTTTAGTTTTGATCATTCTTAGCGATATGCTTATATATTCTTTCTCCAAATCGAATATATTTAAATGTACATATTCTGTGTAAAAAATGACCGGAATTGTTGACGAAGACGCTAACTCATCAAAATTTATTTCGAAGGCTGAGAAACAAACCACACATAAGTTGGCCATTAAGCAGTTCGATAGCTAAATTTGCCTAGATTTGCCAGCTTACAGCTACACACAAGACTAACGCTGCGGCGGATCAATTTATGACCCCTCTTGCCAACGATATGTTTTAGATGCAATCAATATGCACTAAATATGCACTTTAGAGAGATTCTCTGCAAATGCAACGAGAAAACAAGTATGCTTTCACCCTTTACTGGGTAGACGTAATAAAAATTACTATTTATTCAGACAACGCTAAAGGTCTTTGACATTAGATTAAAATAGATAAGATAGCTATTTATTTATGATTTTCTCTCATTATTGTTGTATATATTAATTAACTTGCTGTAGAAAAGCAAGCACAAGTCCAATCGCAAATGAATTTTGCTTAGTTAGAACCGAACTCCTCACATGATTTATCTAAAACTCATAAACATATTTTATGTTCAAAATAGTAATAATAATAAAGTATGTACACGTTATGCGTAAAACATTTTAATGATGCGTTTGTTATGTGGTTCTTTTATTTGCAGATTTTTACAGAAAGCACGCAAGAAAATCAACGTTCAGGCAAGGGAAAGTGGTAATGTTGTAGTGGCCTAATGAGATTTATTACGACGCTGTTTCTCATATAGGCGCATAAGCTTTTACGGCATTTTTACGGAACACATCACCAAGTATCCAAACCAAGTATCAGTAAAACCGAATGTCTTACATTTGACTCAGAATCAAGAGAAATAAAAAAGAAAAGCAAATGTTGCTTCAGTTGTTGTGATGCATTAAAGTCAAGTGAAGTTGGGAAAAGTAGTGCTGCAGTGCGCAACTCGGTCGTAATTAAAGCAACCAACCGACAACGCGGCAATAAAACAATTTATATAGAATTTTGTAATGAGTTTTGGTATTCAAGGCAATCTTTCCTACTGATGCCCATTGGATGAAGTATTTCTTCTTCTTCATTCCATACGTTACTCCGTGAATTCAAGTGTTTTTTCTGGGTTCTAGATTTTTCAATATTTATTTCTCTATTTTTGTGTTTCAAATTTTATTGTTTTGCAGAAATTTTAATTTAAGTAAATGAAGATTTTTACGAAATTGAAATAGTGTAAGACGAAGCAAACAAGTTTTTAAAAAGTAGTGTATAGAAAAAACATTACAAAAAAAAGAGAGAAATTTTGAAGCGACATATTTTTTTCGCTAAGAGAAAAAGGAAATCAGCAAAAATTCCCGGCAACAAGTTGTATTCGTTTGGTACCATGGAAGGCGGTTATATTAATGAAGGTAACTGTCGACCTATATATATGTATATAGTAAAAGTAATAATTTTAAGCATGTTTGTAATTCCGTTTCAATCAATTAATTAATTTCATTTCTCAACAAAATACTTCGCTCACTTAAAAAGGTATCCACACGTTAAACAAACGTATGTATTCGTTTCCAAAACAAAACACATAAATAATTTTTTTTTTTTTTTTTTTTTTGTGATACTTCTCTTCACACACCCACAAACTTTTAAATTAACACATTTATAGTTCAATGCACACTGAAAACTTTTTTTTCCTTAATAAAAAGAGCCGCCACAACTAAAAACATATGGAACGGCAAACAAAATAAAAAGAAAAAAAGACAAGGAGAAAAAAATGCTCAAAGTCAAATTTATTTTAAGACACACTTTAACACCCGTAGAGAAGTGTGCATTTCATTTTATTGCTTGGACATTTTTAGAACATCAAATGCCATCAAAAAAAGTAATACATCAAATAGAAAAGGCGCTTCTTGCCTTGTTGTATTGGAAAATTGCATTCACTAAAGGTGCATATACATGCATATATATTTATATAGGCGGACTAGACAAAGAATCATCCCACCATTGACTTTGAATATTTTGGATATTTTAAGATTTAAGAATTCATTTTATTCTTCTCTACATCTTCTCTTTTCTATGTAAATACTAAACGCATTTTTTTTCTTTCTACGCAATGTTAAGGATATTCACGCAATAAAGTATTTTTGGTTTTAGTCGTAGTGCACTTGATGTACTGCATTTGGCCTCTTGTTGATAGAGCGGGGTCTGCATCTACATCGTTCTCTTATGATTAGTAGTGTATCAGAATGATTGAATCTATCTATGTGGCTTTCTTTCCAGATATACTAAGAAAATAAAAGCTTGTCAACTTGTGCTCAGAAATATTCTCAGCTTATAGATATCTATCAAGTTTAAAAGTGGATCAAAGTAGACGCTTCTTATTCTATGCCTTTAGTAAAGTGGCAAAGCTTTGCTTAATAGTAAGCTTTAAAAGCTTGTAATTAATGTTTAAAAAAAAAATAGTCCGCCCCATCTATGCTTTAAGAAAGTTTTTTATTAGACTCGGCCAATATTTTCATAAACAAGAACTTTTCAAAGCTCATATTCGACAGTTATGTAAAACGTGCAGGGGCTGAAATGTTTCCTAATAAATCTAGGGCTTTCAAATTGTTGAGCATAGTTACTCGATAGATCGTTGGGCAGAAATAATGCGCCATCAAATCTCATCATTTGTCTTCTAATAGACTGCTTACACAACAACGTTCAAAATTCACTTCTAATCTATAATCTTTTCAAAGACCAATTGGTACCATTCTTATGTAAAAAAACAAGCCTTCAAGTTTCCTTTGCGCAATTAAGTTATAATAGTTAGACTTTAAAGCTTTCTGCGAGACTTGGGATTATCTATCTATCTACACATTCAAAATTTTAAAAAGTCAAAAGCCAAACGTATCTTATGTCAATGTCAACTGTATAAACACGAAGGTAACGAGCTTTAACGAATACTTATTGGCATTTGCGGACATTTGAAATTAACTTCATACAAGAGCTTTACGTACATTTAATACTCTTCGTAAAACTTTCGCTGTAACCTGTGTATCTGCCAATACGTTTTCAGCGTCCATTTCTCGCTTTTTATACCTAACACCGAAGAATGTCAAAACGCTTGCAACGTCCGGAAGGAAGTTCCTGAGAATCCACAAAGTATATGATCTTCTTGATCAGCACGTCCGTCGGTCTGTTTGCGCAATGTCCGTTTTAAACATTTTTCTAGTCGCCAAAATGGAGTTGTCGACTTAAGTTTGGCAGAAGCGTTGGAAATTCTTTCACGCAGGTTGGTATTAAAAATGAACCAAATCGGTTGTAGGATACGTTTATAGTATCTGGCTAGACTGAGAACACCTCCGCTTTTCAAAAAGAATGATAAATTCGTTTTTTGCGCATTACTCATAAACTATAGCAAATAAATGTACAAAAATCTGAACGCACATTCTATGCGCGATGATGTAGCACCTGCACAAAAAGGGAAAAAACTGACTACGCTGACACTGATAACGCGCAGAAGCGCACGCGTCAAAAAACCCCATAAATTATATAAATTCTTGGCCAGTTTCAAATTCGGAAGGCGCGTAAGCATCTTCATCTGTTCATCGGTCCGTCTGCCCAACTGTGTGGCAACATTCTCGAGTTCGCAAACACGCAGCAAAATTTTAAAATGATCACAAAACCCTTCAAAGGGGACCCCTACAATCGCAGCTTACCTTGAGCAACTCTGCTTTTCATATTCTATGCTTGTCACTCATAAAGTACAACACCTACGCAAAACGTAGAGATGAGCATTATTTTCCACAAAATATTTTTCAAACATTTTCTTGGTACCTCTTTCAGGTAACAAATAAGAAAAGCCCTCGTAAACCACTCCTACCAAGTCTGTCTATATTAAGCTTAGGCGAGATCTTAAGTTTTCCATCTTTTGTTTTATTCATGACTACCCTTGATATAAAATCTGTTCGTAGTTTTATATGCAAATTTTTCTTAATTATTCTCTTTATGTGAACACTCAAAATTATATTTTTCAATTACTTGTTTATTCTATTTAAATATAATAATACATTTACGTACATATTTACACATGTCAGGCAGATTAGCATTTTTTTCATTCTTTTAGTAGCAGTGTTAGTCATTCAAACTGATATTTTTCTGCAAACTACATATATATTTATTGAAATTTTATTTAAATAGAGAATGACGTTACTCTTGCTAATATCTATCTATATCTATTTTGTAAAATTATTTTTAGTAAATTTTTCGTTTCGTTTGTTAGTTTTTGCAAGCACAATGCATTCAACGAAACGAAGCAAAAAAGTAGAAAAATATTGAAAATAGTTTTTAAATGAAAATGTTTTAGTGCAAATTGAGAAGACAGACAATAAACAATAAAGCTGAAATGTTCACATCAACAACCGAGCAAATGCATAATAATTCAAAAACTCATTTTCCAAGTCACACAAATCACTTTGCGAAACCCTCTTTGATCAAATAATAGTAATATACTTTTAAATTATAAAATTGTCGAGTATGCATGATGAGGATTTTCCTCTACATTTTATTAAGGAGAAAAATTCTTACGAATTTAGGCACAGATAGCATATCTTGTCTTAGAGATTACGTTAGTCTCTGGACTAACACCATCTAAATTTTTGGCTTCGCCATAAACATTGTTTTTAGGCATTAAGACATGATTTGCTACACGTTCCGAACAACCGTCATTTTTTAGTAACAATTTCCATATTTCGGCCGATATCATTTTTTGCATCTCTTTCCATTACTTTTTTCTTCCTTTCAGCTTTTTGCCTCTACCTATGCAGTGATTTGAGGGACTTCATTTTCCTTTCTCTTTCCTTTCTCCTTGTCATTACTTTTCTGTCCTTTCATGCGTTAGGTTTTCGCCCAATATTGTAATTTGGAGTCAATTTTTATTTTTTCTTCTCTCTCTTTCTCTCTCTATATATATATATATATCTCCCTAAAATCCTCACTCTCTGCTTTTCACTTTTCGTTTTTCTCGCCTTACATTCTCCTTCTGCCTCCCTCGCTCTTTCTCACATTTCTCCATTTCTGTTAGATTACGGTGGCATGAGCTTTGAGTGATTGACTCCCTATCCCTCTCTCTCTATCTCTCTCTTCCCCCAAACTTCTGCTTTCTTTCATTTCTTTGCATATTTTTGCTTTTTCTTCTAAGCTAAATTCTAACATATGCGTCAGCGCCCTAAATCATGCGTCTATCCGGCTGGCGAAATAAAAAATTTATTAAAGAGGTGGACTTAATGAATTCCCTTATCTATGACCTCTCTTATTAAAATTAAAAGATGTTAACTCAATAGGAGATTGGAGTGAAAGTCGCTTATGATGCTTGAGCGTGAGCTTTAAGTCTGCAAAAATTTTCATCATTCGCTTTGTACATAATCTTGTCATGTTCAATTAATTTTCGATTCGATTTCATCATAGCACAAGGCACATAACTTTTTGATCTTCCCTCACAATCATTCTATCATTCATTCTATGCAATTAAGAGAAAAAGAAATTAATCGAAATTGAATTTTTATTTTCTTTGAAATGCTGCATTATTCTCTGTATATACATATATATACATATTTACATATAAACGAACATCTGCAGAGGATTCAGATGCTATTATAGGAGTGGAAAGTCCAGGTAAATTATTATTCAATAAAACAGAAAAATTCATATACATGCACTGAAGAAGTATATAACACAGTTATTTCTCAAGTCATCCTTGTCATGATGACATCATCATATCGCTCTACTTCCATTACTGGTTACTGTTGCCGCTATTTAAAAATTTAAGCTACCAAAAATTTCAAAGCGTTGAAAGAAACTTTTTCAAAAGTTGCAAATAATCTTTTGTCTGCGTGTATTGTTGCTAACTTCTAAGAAGTTGAAGAAAAGAGAAAAAAAAAAAATGGAAAAAAACTCAGTATGTCTGATGACCTAAATTTTTAGTTCAACTCTTGGGTTTTGCGTTTTTTGTTTTTTATTTTATTTTATTTCCCCTCCTTTTAACTTGATGTTTTTGTGATAGTAAATTTCAAAGAATATGATTTTTTTTTTTTTTTTGTTTTTACAAGAGTTCTCAGCAACAACAACCAAGATATTGATTATGGTTGGAATTAACAAACGAAAAGAATTGTTAAAAACATTCTGAGATTTTTAAAGCCAAAGCATTTAAAAAAGTCTTTTTTTATTATTTTTATGAGTTTTCTTTAACGAGCGAACATACGTTTATCCATGTTTACATTTAATAGAGGCGTTGTAAGAGGGCATAAAATTTTATTTGAATAATTGAATAACAAACAAGTTGTTTAACTGAATTTCGCTGTTTTGTGAAGATATTCCCTCGTTTTTTACTGGAGCAGAACTAAACCATATTCGAAGAAATTTCCGCAAAACCACA